TACTAATAATACTAATAATAATACTAATACTAATACTAATAATACTACTACTACTACTACTACTACTACTAATAATAATAATAATATTAATACTAATGAAGAAAAGCACATTTTAACATTTTAAAAGCATTCCACCAAAAGGACTCCATGTTAATGTGCAGACATGTTTAAATGGACTTCACTACAATACAAGATGCTTCCCTGAGAACATTTATTACATTTAGAAAAACACACACACATTTACATACACAGTGTGATTTACACTCGGTGGCCACATTATTAGGTACACCTGTAAAATCCAATAACATCAACAATGAACAGCTATGAATTCTACCTGTGTATAGAGATAATGATGATCAGCTTTGAGGTCTTCCTTCCACTATATGTTTGTTATTGAGGTTGTAGTTTGCAGTGGCGTTGAACTGTAAGCGAACTTTAAAAAGGCACATTTCCATCAAGTGGTTTGGAGCAAATAAAGTCGGCTGCTCCGGGTGTAGTTCAGTCCTGTTTCACACATGACAGTAAACAGACATCTAACTGCTGTCTGACCGTCTACCAGAGAGAACAACAGGATGTCTTCAGGGTTTTTGTCAATTGGGCACTTTTAACTAGTTCCTTCATGTCAGCTGGTGTTGTCCGTGTTTCATGGCGTCCAGAGATGAAGAAATGTAAACGTGTGTCCGGTCATGTGAGCTAAATGTTCGCCAAGTCAGAACTTGGTCGACAAAACTGTTTTTGAGGAAGTTTTATCTAATTCTGCTGTTTCCATTCTGCTTTTTCTGATGCGATACTTCAGACTGTGCATGAACACGACTACTAAACTGTTTCTAATGAACTCTCTGACGGTGTCGGACGCAAGTCAACACTGTTGAAGTAAAAAACAAAGAAATGACTTCACACGGAATGTTTGCCATTGTATTGAATTTGACCTAAGTTCTGCTGTATTTCAACGTTCAGTTTGGTTATTCTGTATTACATGACATACATGACATACATGACATACATGACATACATGACATACAGTAC